GCAGAGCGAAAGAAGAAGAGAAGAAACAAATAGCTGAACAGAAGCGTCTTAGAGAGGTTGCGGACCAAAAAGAGCATGCTGACTTGGTACGAGCGCGCGAGGAAGAGGAGACGAAACGAAAGCAAGACGAGAAAGACATACGAGCGCGCAAAGCAAAGGAAGAAGACAAGAAACAGAAAGAGCCAGGTAGGCAAGCAGCGCGAGATGGAGAAACGGTGGCCAAAAGAAAAGCCAAAGACATACATCAAGCCGAGCAAACCCCAATGCAAGAAGCAAGAGAGAAGAGATGGAAAGGGAAGGAGACAGCGAAGCAACCAGCAGCGGAAAGCTCAAGGACAAGAGAAGAAAAAACCTTGGAGAAGCCGGAGGCATCGAAAGCGGAGAAGAAAGATCGCCGTAATGAGGATCAGAAGAAGAATGCAGACCGGAAAAAGATTGGGGAGGAACCGATGAAGCGTCCGGAAGGAGAAAACACAAGACCGAAAAGTCGTGGGCAAGATACGAATAAGCAGCAAGACAAGAAGACTCCAGACAAGAAAGAAACCCGGGAGCCTTCGGGTACAGACAGAGCAGCGAGACGGGAGTCCGAAAAGAATTCTGGGCCCAAGGCGCAAGCCAAACCACTGGAGAAGCAGCCTCAAGAACCACAAAAGGAGCGTAAAGAGAAAGATGACCATGAGAACGCGGGAAGGAGAAGCCCCAGAAAAGATCCAGCCGATATACCAGTGGCGCAAACCCAGGACCCTTTGGGTGCAGACAGAGAAACGAGACAGGAGACTGTAAAAGGTTCAGCCAAACAACAGGAGAAGCAGCCTCCAGAGTCACAGAAAGATCGTCAAAAGAAAGACGAGCACCGGAAGGTCGAAAAGAAGAGCCCCAAGACGGATCCAGCCGAGATACCGGTGGCGCAACATCCACCTCTACCAACACACAAAGCCCAGAGTGAGGTATTGCCGAACGCGATATCCCGCAAAAGCGAAAGTTCGACTCTTCCCAAGTCTACCACTGCTCTGCCAGCGAAGATTGAGGCGGTCTCAACGCCGGTGAGCGGCGCAAAAGCGAGTCCGACACATCAGGTGAAGTTTTCCCCTGCGATAGAGATCATTGTACACAACCAGAGTTCCTCGAGGGAAGACTCTTCACGTTCGAGTGTGAACCCCAGAAAAAGAGAGACTACAGAAGAGCCATCGTCTAAGCAAACACCACCCGAGATTCACCGTGTGTCCAGGAAAAGTATCCCCCCGGCAAACCCAGCGGGTGAGGAGAACATATTGCAACAGTTGGATGCGCTTGCAAAGGCTCTGAAGGGGCTTGAGGCACATAATGAAGAGCTGGGCAACGCTAGTTCTGCTGTTGAGTGGCAAAGTACAACACTTGGAAAGGAAATGTCCCTTCGAGCAGTGTCACCAGCAGAAGATGCACACCCACAATCGAGCGCGCAGCGCGAGAGTTCGGCTAAGGAGCAGCTGCAGAAATGCAGTAATCGATTTCCAGCACCGGGAGCGCACTCCGAGCAAACCACAGGTCAATCTAGCAGAATAAACAACGAACCTGCGACAGATCAAATAGTTCGCACCTCAATGTCGTGGCTAGGGAGGCAGACCAAACAGATGGTTGACCTGCTGGTTCCAACAGCTTCGCCGCGTGTTCCAATCACGCCCAGAACGATCTCTGAGTCCTTCGTGTCGAGAAAAGAGCCAGAGCAAGGAAGCAGCACTCGTGATGCTGAGATATGGTTCGACACACAATCTCAGCCTCATGTACGATCTGAATCTGTTCCAATCATCCACCAAGAGACGTCCAAGGCCGATGCAAGGGACAGCTTCGTGCCCGGTGGGTGGCATCAAGACTTTGATGATCCCAGCCCTCTTCATGGATTGAGAAAGATCCGTTCCAACGACCAACCAGGCCAGAATGGCTTGCGGGTAGTGCAGACAGAAGACGGAAGACACAGGCGCGCCTCATCCGTAAACACATTGAGAAGAAGTATTTCCGAAATGGGTAGTGCGCCAATCCAAAACTGGAGCGCCCAAGAGTGAGTCCCGAGGTACCCTAAACATCAAACGTCTCGTTAACGATGCATAGTGAAGTCATAGCCGATGGTTGGTTCGAAGACCTACGTGACCATGCCCATGTACTGCTGGACAGGTACAAGGGCGACTCTTATAAGGCGAAGAAGACAGAACGCCGCGTAAAGATCGCTGTACTCGACAGTGGCGTGGCTAAGAGCGCTACCCAGGGCCGAGTTCCGCATCTGATGAAGAGTCCACGAGTGAAATTAGGAAAGCAGCTAGATCCATCTCTGCCCTGGAACCGTGATAGCAAAGGCCATGGTACCCATGCTGTGGGTGTGATCCTCACTGTCTGCCCGTACGCAGACGTGTATGTGTACAGGGTCTGCGAAGGTACCGAAGCAATCGACAGGAAGTACGTAGCGGAGGCCATTAATGACGCTGTCGAGAAGAAGAAGGTCGACATCATCAGTATGAGTCTAGGCTGGAACGAGGACAGCGATTACGAAATTCGAGCGGCGATTAGACGGGCTAGAGCTAGCAATGTTCTACTCTTCGCAGCGAGCTCGAACGAAGGCATCCGAACGAAAGCCGGCATGTCGTATCCAGCTCGAGCTTTGGAAGTTATCGCCGTTGATGCAGCAGATGTTCATGGTAACCCGTCCAAGTTCAATCCTCCACAAGTCAGCCACAAAGCCAGATTTACTGCCTTGGGCGAAGCAGTAAGGTCTGCGTACCCTACACACCTTCCTTCTGAGGATCCACATGAGGGGTGGAAGAGAATGGTAGGAACATCCTGTGCCACTCCTATCGCCGCCGGCATTGCGGGACTAGTACTAGAATTTGCCCGTCAACGACCGCTTTGCTTCGAGCCTGCCATCGAAACCTACCTAAAGTCCGTAGAGGGTATGAGACTGATCTTGACGAAATGCCTATCGCTCAAGTATGCAGACACTTCACCATTCAACCATCTCGATCCAACGATATTATTCCATTGTACCGAAAGATACGATGACGGTGGTAGCTTTTCCGAATCTATGTGTCCGCGGCACAACGCAGCGTACAACATCGTGTCGAGGCTACGCGAAGAGTTCTCGCAGGATATAGGCGACCAGATGCTGATGGAATTGCAGATGGAGCTGCAAAAAGAATGGGCTATAAGCGCTCAGAGTTGATCAGAAGAGAATTGACGTTTGCGGTTTTGTGATCAGTAGAAACCCCGAGAGGGGAGGGGTCCAACGCGTTCAGGACGCGCTAGTGCGCGTCCCGGTGGCCATGGCATGCGTCATCACGTAGGGAAGGTCCTTGTACTACTACCGCGTCTAATTCATGTTCAAACTGAGGGATTCTATTCAATGCACCACCTCAAAACATCCGCCTCTTACAAATCCATATCTGCACATCCCATCAGTGCAGATAACACCGACGCTGTTGCGACCCAATATCATGATGCATGATGCGAAACTGAGTCAGGCACCCGCCGTCGCAGCTACCTACGTGGCACCTCAGAACTGCTCGAGCCAAGATTCCCACTTACAAACACCACAAGCACCGCTGCGTAGCTGACGTAGAATTAGCTTTCGAAAAAGAGATGGAGACCTCTAGACTTACGCCGCCGTGGCTGCGAAGACCTCGGATCGCTTCGCAGCAGTGAAGATACTGACGCTTCCAGCGAACAATAACATAAATACGCCGATCATTATCAGCTTCGTTGTGGGGTTGTCGACATAATACAGGACCAGAATTGCGACGAAGAGCAGGATGACTGCGATGATGACGCTGAAGATCGTCACGAACTTCGCTATTCTCTTTTCTGGCACGTATGCCATACCATTCTCTCGTCTCTCTGCCTTCGCACTCTGCGTCAGCTCCCCGTAAGGGTAGTGATTATCAGGTCATACGTACCAAAAAGAGGACTGGAAGATACCGCTGTACGAATGTCGTCACACGGTCCTCGTAAGCGGGCTGTTTCAAAAGAACCAGATCATTGTCTCTTTCATACAGGATAGCACTATGGCCTCCGAAGATTGAGTCTCGCTGATTTGCGACTTTGTTGTAGCGCGTTGACGCATGATGAACAGCGTCAAAAGTGCGTATTGGGGGCGGTGCAAGTTGCGCCACTTGGCTTTCGGATAGCAGTGCCTTCCCTTCGACATTCTCAGCGTGTCATTTGAGAGTCTAGGCTGGCATCAGGTATTACTATACTCTTTCATTTTCTTCCGTATGGTTTCCATTAGATCCATTCGATTCCTTTGTTTGATATTTGCAGGGTCATCTGCAGCATTTCTGAACGCCTCCCAGTTCATAGCACATCTTCCGGTAGCCAGATCATTATTCTCATGGCTTCGATCTTCGCTATCGAACTGTTCCTATTGGCATACGATATTAGCAGGTCGTCTCGAAGAATTCGAACTGATCTAGTGCGTACTTGCATTGCTTCGAGTTCAACCAGCTCACTTTGCAGGTAAAGCAGATTACGCACAGCGAGCTTATCAAAACGTCTAAATACCAAAGATGTTCGATCTGGGTCGCTTGCGATATCCTCTGCAAGTGAGGGATACCCATCCAGAGGCCGCACAACACCAAAATCCGAGGTCGGCATCTTGGATTTGGTGAGGTTGTTGTGGCGATGAGAGACCTGCGCGACGCAATCGTGTCCGGATTCTGCCTTGCTGCACGTGGTAACACAGACCGGTGAAGAACCCCGCATCGCATACGGCATGCCAAGTAACTTACCAGCCAGCCACCAGTTTCGCCCACAGACGAAAATCTTCTTGTCGCATCTTTGTGCTTTCTACACGTACAGGCATACACAACTTTGTGTTCACCAATACGGGTGCGGTGCCATCACCTCTGAGTGCACCCCAAACACACCAGCACATTCCCAGGTTGCGACTCGTGACAACCTCCACGCCCATCTGCTGCAGGTGGCAAGTTACGTCATCGAATCTTCATTATCCCTACACCGTCTGAACACTTTCCGGACCCATGGCTACCGATCCACGTCGACAAGCGCTGGATTTGCTGTCAGGTTATTCTACCCCGTCAAACCTACTTCCCGAAGGCTACAGAGAAAGCTTCGACAAGGTATGATAGCGTAACCCAGGGCTTTTGCAAGAAGAATACTTAAATGTACCTTTTGCAGAGCTGGTATCAGGAATACGTTCAGTATCGAGAAAGTGTCAAGCCAAAGCTCGGCACTAACGGGCCCTCATGCGACTGGGCTTCTGATACGTACACAGCAGGAAGAAGGTCCTCTCTCCAACTAGACGACATCGCACACGAAACTTCAGCAAATCCTACAAATTGTGGTGGGAGTCTCGAAGAGACCGCGAATGCCTTGATCTGTATCGGTGCTGGTGTCAAGTCCCAAGATTTGGCCGGGACACAGAATCAATACGAACAGGAACAATACGAGAAGAAACAACACGACGAGGAACAATACAAACAGAGTCGACGGGATGAAGACATACAACGTCGCTTTGCAGAAGCACTCAGGCGACAACCCGCGGCAAAGGGAAAAGCACGCCGGCGGGGCCTCCCACTACTTCTTGAATCCCACGGTGATATGACAGAGATCATGACCTGTTACGACACCGGGACTCACGAAAACCACATGTCTCGTGCCAAAGCAATTGAGCTGGGGTACAACATCGATCCGAGCCCCGATATTGCAGCGGCCTTTCAGCTCCCGAATGGCAAGATTATCAAGGCCGTGGGTCACGTCGTTGTGGCAGTTCAGTTCGCTAGACGAGAAGGGCCTAAAGCATCTTCTATGACCTGTCATTTCAACGTGTTCGACCGCTTGGCTCTACCAGTGCTCATCGGCATGACCTTCCTTCAGGCCACAGAGACCATCACCAGATACACATCACGCATGGTGGATCTTCCAACGACGTGGAAGCGCTCTCTTCGATTATGCGCAGTGGGAAACGCGACCAACCAAGTTGCATGCACTATCGACGGGCGAGCAGTGTCTGCAGCTGCAGACACCGGGTCAGAAATTGCCTTGGTCAGTGGCGAGTATGCCATGAAACACGGACTTTTGCGAGACTACAGTTGCGAAGAGCTCGAGTTGGCTGACGGATCTCTTGAGTATACAAGCGGTCATGCAGACGTGACAGTCCGCGTCCTGACAAAAGAGGACGTATACTGCGGGAACCCTTGGAAGACTAAGAAAGTCCGCTTTCATGTTCTGAAGAATCTTCAATTCGACGTAATTTTGGACGAAGAGACCATCGATGACCTAAGCATCTTCGAGAATGGAGTTGCCAAAATCGTGGCTGCTGCATCCAGTATTGTACCCAGCATATCTACCATCATTCACCTTGGGTCGGTTGAGGCCTCTCTTACGCAGGCAAGCGACACGCTGGGTGAGAAAACAAAAGCGCTATGTACCTCAGTTCAGTCAAAGTTCAACTCGATCTTCTCCAAGCCAAATTTTTCGCCTGCCCCGACCACTCCAGGTAAGAAGAGGCCATATTTACTGCCACTGCTCCCCTTACTGACGAGTTGCAGCTTCTCCAGTGGGCCAAATGAATACTTCAATCCAAGCTCGAATCACACATTTGTCTAACCAAATGTGCGAACTACAGCAAGCAGAGAACCGTCGGTTTGATCAAATCGACAAGAGAGGCCATCCTTCCGCCGGTGATGCTGCACAGAAACGGGAATACGATACCAAAATTGAGCAGCTTTCGAGAGAAATACGAAACCTGAAGGCCTCACAAGGTCCCTAAGCAGCTCCACATTCCACGTACCCTTACACTTACGATGTTCGCCGAAAGAGGCGAGGATGTGGTGACTTTTCTTCTATGAGTTTCGATTTGGATTTGACCAAGGATGGTGGATCCGGGCACGAGGCTTGATGCATTTGACCTTAGGCGCAGCTGGTGGAACATACATGATGTAACTAGAAGCTCTTTATCCTATTGTAACTACGCAGTGATACCCGCACACGTAGTGCGAGATCAACCACTATACTTGACTGGAGATAAGAGGGTCGTAAGAAGGCTATTCATGTTGCCCGACTAAAGGCAATACCTTATTGGACCTACAACTAGATACAGTAAGACAACATCATACCCAGCAAATTGGTCATGTCTAGCTCCTGAGATAGGCCAAGCCGAGAGTGAAGCATACAGGGTATGTTTATAGAGGAGCAGAAGAATATATATCTTCACCGCCGACCATTCAACATCCTCCCCTCCTCATCCCCCTCCTCCAGATCACTAAGTTCAAACTCCTCCGCATTCCTCAAACTCTCCTCATCCCCCTTAACCTTGCCCCAGCCCTTCTCATCCGCCGGATTAGGAAACGGCTCCGCACACCCCCGATTCCTTAGCGCAGGATAATACCTCCTATACGTATAATGCGCAACCGCCATACCCAGCACCGACCCCACACTAACATCATAAACATCATGCCTATAGTCTTCGCAACGCGAAATCGCAATAAGCGCTGCGCCAAGCAGGGGAGCAAGGGCGAGGAGGACGCGGGCGAGGTCGGCGCGTGGGCGGTAGACGTGGCATTGGCCTGCGATGAAGAGGGCGAGGTAGCCGAGGCCGCTGAAGGAGAAACTACTATGTCCGCTTGGGAAACTGCGCCACCCGTCGTGTAAAACGTGATGATCTGTCTCGGTGCAGACGTCAAAGGTGACGAGTTGGTGTGCGGGCGTGCCAGGAGCGGGTTTGCATCGAGCGATGAGATCGGGACGAGGACGGCCAACGGCATTCTTGATCACGTCGGTGATGAACATGGTGAGGATCATGCTGATGAACCAGCCGAGAATTGTAACGTGCGCTTTGTGCGTTCCAGGGCGCAGGACAAGGGCCCAGGCGATGAGGACGCCGAGGGGCACGGCGCCGGCGTAGATGAAGAGCCAGGAGACGGGGACGCGTTCGTGTTCTGCGTGGGGGTAGTTGATAGCGAGGTTGTCGAGGAAGAACATGCGGTGGAAGGGTTCGGCGAGAAATTGTATCTGTGCCTAGTTTGTCAGTCTTGCTTTTCTGTTGAAACCGAGAGAGTTCATTCCGGTATTGTGATTACGCACCAGTATGTACCCGCATACTAAGATGGCAATGCCAACATAATCCGAGGCATACGAGCGCTGTAGATGTGTGTTAGCTATCTCTGTCCATGCGTGAACCACGCCTCATTGTGAATTCGCTCACCTGCCAGAAGCGCGCCGCCGCGCCTAGGAAACCAGGCGAATTCAACAGCTCATTGGAATTGAGCCTGTGTGTTGGAGCAGGCATGGTCGCGTGGTCAGCACGCGCGCATGGCAGTCGAGGTTTGGCAAGCGTCTTCGGAGGTGTGTCTTCAACTCCGCAAATGCAGGGAGAAACGCGCTAGTGGGGGCGGCTTGCGTCACTCAGGGTACACGCCTAACGTAAAACACCATGCACCGTCCCTAGACTATATCCAGCTCGGATTCCACAATGACTCTGCAAGACGTAAACAATCTCATCTGAATATCTTCCTGCTAACAACATCAATACGTAGAAACCAACATACCCAACCTCCCCCCATCAACCACAACCACACTCCCATTCAAATACCCCCCAGCCCTTCCCGCCATCCACAACACCGCGCCCGCAATATCCTCCTCCTTGCCCGTCCTGCCCTCCGGTACAACACTCCTATCCACCTCCCCATTGGGTCCCTTCTCCAATGATCCAATAATGCCCATCGCGAGCTCTGACGGGAAAATGCCCGGCGCAAGTACATTACAACGGATACCGTAAGGCACAAACGCCGTGGCCAGCATCTTAGTCATATGCGTAACAGCCGCTTTACTGCTGTTGTAAGCGAACGACGCGCCGGGTAAACGCGAGAAACCGCCGATACTCGATGTCGTTATAATTTGAGAACGGACATCAGCATGCGCGGGTTTCCTGCTGTTTCCCGCGTCGAGGAGCGTGAGGAAGGACAGCGCCGTATAATATACCGCCGTGTTGTTCACCGCATACGTGTTGGTAAAGTCGGCCATGGGCGTCTCGAGCGCGTGTGCTGCGTACTCTGCGACTGACGGCGCGGCGCATCCTGGTGCTGCTTTGAGCGGCTTAGGGCCCATGATGCCTGCGTTGCAGATTAGGAGGTTGATGTAGCCTGTTTCGGTCTCGACGTGCTTTGCGATTGAGAGAAGAGATTCGCGTGATGTGACGTCGCCGGGTAGCGGGATGACGGTTTCTGGGTTGATGCTTTTGGCGGCCGAGTGGAGGACGTCTGGACGGCGGCCTACGATGTAGATGCGGTGGGCGCCGTTGGCTGCTAGGGCTTTGGCCATCATTAATCCAATGCCTGGCGTTGTTAGAGGAGTGCTGTTGGGTTTGGTATGTGGGTGGGCTACCTGTTCCGCCTCCTGTGATGACGGCTACTATGCCGTTGACGTTGAAGAGCTCGTTGGCTGAGAGGTTTGTAGACATCTTTGGACGTTTGAGGGAAAAAAGCTTTGTAAATGTGGCCTTACAGCTTCGTTGCCTGAATATATGTCATTGCTACGGCTCCACCTTCCGATGGCTTCTGTACGACCAGCGTGCTTGCCGTGCTCGGCTGGAATGATGGGTGGTGACTTCCCTTTCCATCTTCCTTGGCAGATCATCGATGCAAACTCAAAAACTCAAGGACGGGTTCTGTAACGTGAAAGCCCATTGTATCGGTGAGGTACGGGCCAACGCGGTATCAGTCGATGTGCATTATAGCGGAGATGTTTTCTGCAAAGTAGTCGTGCCTCATAATACCGTGATCCAATCAACATCACCACCTGGGCACCTTCCTCAAAAATGCCAGTATCAACAAACACATCAGCCGATCACTCCCGAGGTCACTTCTCCGCGTGCCAGCTTTTCCTAGCGGTAACCCACTTGAAGCTTGCACACCACCCCTCCACCTCCCCCCGTTCCGACCGCTCAACATAATCATAAATCTCTTTTTGCGCAACCAAAATATCAGCTCTCAGCTCCTCCGCTGTCCAAACCCTCGTCTTGCTTCCCCACTGCGTCAAGAGCCTCAAACAAACCGGTTCAAACATCTCCATACCAAGCACAAACATCATCTTGCCAAGCGATCGCTGCGCTTCGTCCTTTGGCCATTGTCCGACTGGCACGTTGACTTGGGTCGTTTGGACGTCTTCGAAGCCTGCTTCTTCGAGATAGGTGTGGTGCATGTAGAAGAGGCCGAGTGGACGGCCAGATTTGAATGATGCTTCCATGAACGCCACGTAGAGTTTCCGTAGGGTAGGCATGGGTATGTTTGCTGCTGTGATCTCCCCTGGGCCCATGGGCACTTGGCCGAGATCCCAATCTGCGAGTTCAATACATCCACCGGGTGAAAGACTCTTGTATATCTCGGCATATACGTCTTCCCAGTGCGTGAAAGAGCCCTTCATGTTTCGTAAATGTATGAGCTCAAAGGAGTCGCTAAAGTGCCAGCCAGGTTCAGGCTGGGGGGTAAGTGTTGAGAGATCAATAGTCAAATGCTCCTCGGGCGTAGGCTCCCTTCCTTGCTGACTGAGATCGACCGTTGACTTGGGCTTCCTCAGCGCGTCGATGGGAGTCCGATTAGCCAACTCATTGGCTAGATCTAGAGTAGCGAGCTGGTTGATCAGCTGATCGACATCCATCTCTTTTCCCCAGACGTCAAGGTCGTCCAGCTCCCATGTCACCCTGGCATCGCCCAACGTGGCTTCGGTGGTGTCTATATCCCATTCCGTCATGTCAATTCCGACAACCTCCGCGTGCGGGTACTGACGCGCCATGGCAACAGCCCAGTGACCTGGTCCAGTGCCCAGGTCGAGTATTCTTCGGGTAGTAGGCAGTAATTTCGCAGTGGTAAGCTTGCCATGAAGTGCTCGGACGAAGATTTCATGCTGTAGAGACAAACGATCCTGCTCTATGAAGTCGTTGTGCTGCTTGTATACGCATGGTAGGTAGTACGTTTCATTACCGTACGTTCGTCCATTTTCATGGAAATATTCTAGATCGTCGGAAGCTAATGTGCGGACAGAGCGACTGTCGAGATAGGCGTCAGCTTTGTACACCGTACGATGGTCGTTGGTGGCTGATCACCCGTAAGGCTACAGCAATCGTTGTTGATCCTTGGAGACTGCCGAGTGGATCTACCCAGGTGCCCCAACGACCACGTCACAACGCAGAGTGGCAAATAACTGCAAGAATAGAAGACAGCAACGTACTTAGACTCGATCGACGAGATACTCTCCGAGTCAGCCCGTCGGCGTTTGAGTGGAGCGCCTGTGAGAGGGGCAACCACGTCGCCGGGTGGTGGCTGTCCCTCGTCCATGGTCTCGGAAAGCCGATGCAAAAGATCTAACAGTTCTCGTTAAACAAATAAGACAAGAATGACAGGTAGACGGAAGAAGTAGAAATCATTCGTCTCTTGGGTATGTGCTGCATCCGTAGTACCCTAGCAAACGGGTGCTAAAAGCTGAGGTTCTGCATGCTAAGCGATGGTCGCTTGATGCTGGGGGCGCGTGGGTACTGCGTATACGGTCTACATGTGCTGGACCGTAAACGGAAACGGGCGACTTACGGCGAGAAGATCTGCAGGCGGTAGAGGAAATCGCGCTATGTGGGTGACTGACGCGATAGTTGATGGTACGCGGGCGACCGACGTAGACGTGTTGCAGCACGTTAGTAAGAGGTGGTCAGGACCGCCAATGCCTCTGTTTGCTAAGAATTAGGCCTCGACCGATGCTCATCAGACTCTGAACAGCCACAAAAACGGTACGCAGGCTTAGCTGCCCGCTGACTTCTAATCATGTTGGCTCTGACACGGACGAATTACCAACCCAGCTTTAGACAGCAGGCTATCTATGTTCGACCTTCGGGCGGAATGATTGACGAAAGGATGCGCTGATACTGAGTCAACCCGTTGGCGACATGAATGCGTCCATCGCTATGTTACAACGCAATCTCCGGTTCGTGCTACGTGTTCGCAGGTGTTAGCGCGTAGGAACCCAGACCCTGCTGCCGGCTTGCAGCATGTCACAAAAGGTCGTAGCACAAGTCCAGAACCAAACTGAAGCAGCCTCTTGCTGATACTACCGCGGAGAGCAGAGTCCTAGACGTCTCAGCTGGGCTCTAGGCACAGACTTTTGGCGCCGGGCTTTTTGACGGTGCGGCCATGCTACCGGCGCCAGCGGAGCGGATCCAGTAGATCGTCAACCGGACTGCCGGGAGTGAATGCACCGTCTTGTAGCTTTTTGCACAATGTGTAGGGCACATTTGCTTCGAGGCCTTTTGCTTTGCTTCATCCCAGACCATCCTCCTCGGAGACTTTTCACACCTAGCACGCAGAGGAGTAAGCTCGACGCGGACGAGTCATTGCTGGTCACGTTTGATCCTAGTAGATGCAGCGGGTGTCGCCCGATGTGTGTACGAACCAGAGAATCGACGGGTTGGCGACCAGGGATGCCGGGGTATCAAGCTGTTGGTGCTGGTAGGAGTAATCTATCTTTTGTCTCCATCAAAAACCATACATAGCAAGTGATAGACAGCAATGACTGACCAGCCTATCGAAAAGCATTCCAGCTGTGAAGTCGGTCGGGCGATCCTGCAGTATACGGGAAAGGTGCCGGACAACCCGGATCCCGGGAGGTGCAACCAGAGTGAGGCTGATATGCAGGCCCCCTACTCTTTCTGATGCGCATCCGTGCCGCGTCCATATGTCCGAGGGGAGTTTTACATAGCGGGTCAGAGTATGCAGGAGAGTTGTCTGTAGAGAAAAAGGTGAGACTGAAAGGTGGCGCGAAGTGCGGTGTGCTAAAGTATTGAACGCACAGTTGCGGCGCGGGCGAATTACACCTCACGGTGTGATACACGGAAGGAGCGAGTGACAACATTGGCAAGCGGAATACGCTGGGTTTTTCCGATTCAATATCAAAGTGACATAAATTCTAATACACAGGTTACGTTTCTCATTAGGACGCAGTTTTTCTGTAGATATGCTCTATACAATCAGTCGACCTCTTGGCCCTCAAACTTGGGTAACCGTGCGGCAACATCTGACCAGGTCTCTTCACCCCTCACGATGTTCGCAACGGCCTGAGCAATCTCCTCGAGGCTTGCGCGCACTTGGCCAGTAGTGTCTCGGTCTCTGAGTGTGAATGTGTTGTCCTTGATGGACTGGAAATCGACGGTGATGCCGAGAGGTGTACCAAGCTCATCGTTACGCTGGGATGTGTTAGACTCTGATTGAGAATACAGTGTAAACGGAGTACTTACGGCATAGCGCTTGCCGATTGAGGCACCGGAAGCGTCGACACGGTTGGAGACACCAATCTTCCGCAGTTTGTCCTTCAGTTTCCGTACAAACGGATCGAAGTCTGGGTTTGAGCTGAGCGGCACGATAAGCACCTTAGTCGGGGCGACGGCCGGAGGGAAGGACAGGACAGCCTTGGCTTCGTCGTCCTCACGGGTCCAGTAAACGTGTTCACATAGAGCCTGGATCAGTCAGCAAGGTATGCATAGCCCTCAACGCCCCGGTACTTACGTAGAATATGCGGCCAATACCAAATGACGGCTCGATGACGTTTGGTGTGTATTCCCGTGTGTGTTCTACTCGGGTCTGCTTCGATATGGTGATGAGCTCCTTTGGTACCTCGACCTTGCCATCACCAACTTCAGGAACGTCAATGACGATCTTGCCCTCCTTCTCTAGGTCTAGAGACAGCTTCTCACGGAGATCTTGCGATAGTGCTTCGATGGCCGCTTCGACAGTCTTACCATCCTTCTTGAAGGTGGGACCGAACTTCTTCTTGTCAAGTTGGCATTGCCACTCTTCAACCTTCTTCGGCTCCTTTAGTGTTTCACGGACAATAAGAGGTGCACCGGTCTTCTTCATATGGACTGAGAGATCGTATGCGCTACGGTCAGCACAACCGACACACTCGATCCAGCCGTATGATGTGAGCAGCTCAGCATCCCAGCAGTCGGCGGCGTAATGGGCCATTTCATTGGCCATGTGCTGCCTAAAGCGAATCTTCTTGGGGTCGACGCCGAGCTTGAGCAGGAACAGCTGGATACGGGCCAAGAAGTAACCCAGTGTCTCGTTGTCGACCAGACCTGTCTCAACAGCCTTGCCGATCTTGGTGGTCTCAACAGTGGTCTTGCCTGAAAGCTGTACGTCCCGGTTGAGCAGCTCAAGCTCAACATCCTTGACCTCCTCGAAGCGTGGGTGTTTCTTGCCGCCCTCCGGGTCGACAAAGTGCTCGATCTCAGCCATGAGGAATTCTCGCACACGTAGCAGACCCTGTCGCGGGGAGATTTCGTTGCGGAACGACTTGCCGATGGAGGCAGAGGCGAAGGGCATTTGCTGGTTGTTGTGGTCTAGCAACTTCTGGAAGTTGACGAACTGACCCTGGGCGGTCTCAGGACGTAGGTATGCGGGAAGATTGGACGAGGGGCCGATGGAGGTCTGGAACATGAGGTTGAATGCGACGGGGGGTAGGAGTTCGCCGTTGGTAGCGGGGTTCTTGATGTCGTACTTCTTCATGAGGAGGCCGAGCTCTTCGCCGTTGTAGTTGTCAATCTTGGCCAGCACCTCCTCGATCTCCTTGACCATGGAGTCCTCAAGCTTGACGGCCGAGATGTTCTTGACCTTCTTCTTTTTCTTCTTGGGGTCCTCCTCCTCGGCCTCGACCTTCTGGCCGCGTGCCTCCTTGTCGCCCTTCAGCCTGGCCTCGAGAACCTCTTCGACCAAGTGATCGGCTCGGAAGATCTCGCCCGTCTTGGGGTCTTTGCACATCCAGTCGGCGAACTTGTCCACGTGCCCGGAGGTCTTGAGGACCTCGTGTGTGGTGAGGATGGTGGGCTCGACCTTGAGCATGTCCTCCTCGAGGACGAAGTGTTCGCGCCATATGTCGACGATGTTGTCGGTGAGGGCAGAGCCGGGCGGGCCGTAGTCGTAGAGGCCGGCGACACCACCGTAGATGTCGAACGAGGGCGCGTAGAAGTATTTGTGCTACAATGGCTGCTGTCAGCACAATTGGACAGTGTTTGGGCCGTCGCACTCACCTTCATAAGCTGCTCGAAGGCAGCGCGCTCGAAGGGCTTGCCCTTGTGGGTCGTGGTATCGCTCGGCATGGCGACGTTCTTCCGCTGGGGCAGGGTGACCTTGTATCGCAAGAGGGGTGGTGTGGACGAGAAGTGCTTGGTGGGATGAGTCGGCGGAGGTGGGGCACGATATTGGACGGGCCTACGTAGAGGCAGACGCGCAGCAAGTTGGGGGACGCGCACTGGAATTAGGCGGCGCATATACTACGGCTCCTCTCTTGCATGCGACAAGAGAACACTAATGAGCGACGCGGTCTAATGTACAAAAGGGCTATAAACTTCGGGCACGGAAATCAAGAAAAGCGATGCTTCGAATCTCGACACGCCTGAGGCTCTGCTAATGTGTGGCGCGCCAAGATTGCGGAAAAGCACAGGCCGCGGCTCCACCGAAAAGTTGAGCAGCACCATGTTGCGGACTCCACGGCCAGTGCGACACACTCCAGTACGGACCAGTAACGTGACCCCGCTCCAACATGGCCTTCTCCAAGAGCCCCAATGTCGCCTCTGGGATCAAGCCCAAGAACAAACTGCGCAGACAGGCGGCGCATCTCTCCATCAAGAAGGCGCGCGAATCAGAAAAACGAGACGCAAGACTCCGTCGCAAGCGCGAGGAAGAAAAGAACCCTGCGCTACGAGAGGAACGGTTAGCACAAAACAAGCCCGCGACCATCGACGGCAAGCGAGTATGGGACGAACCAGTCGGCGACGAAGAAGATGCGCTGGGTTGGGCCATTGATGTGGAGAGACTGGCAAAGAGGAGAAAGGTGGAGCAAGAGGAAGCGGCACAGAAGGAGGGCGAGGATGGCGAAGACGGCGAGGAGGAGGGTATACTAGCGAAACTGAAGAAGCGCGACCAAAAAGCAGGCGGAGCCAACTCGGACGACAGCCAGGACGACGAAGCAGACAGCATGCTCGACGACTCCGAATCCGAACCGTCTCTCGACTCCAACGATTCCGACCTAGATTCAGACGCTGCCTCTTCCAAACCCGGGAAACGCGCCTCCAGTCCCAGCGCCACATCCACAGCAACAAACCTCGAACTCTCGCCCGAATTCCTCAAGCAAAAGTTCCCCTCGATATTCAACCCGCGCACCGACGACCCCCAGATCCTCATCACAACCAGCATCAACTCAACGCTGCACAAAGAAGCCGAAATACTCACCTCCCTCTTCCCCAACAGCACCTACATAAGACGGACCCAGCACGTCCACGCGCACAAATACAGCG